GGGGGGAGGTGGGATATAAAGAAGGAGAAGAGATTGGATTTATACCCCGCCCTTCACTACTCAAAGGTATCTCAGAGTGGCTTACAAACTCCTTTCCCTTCCCCTCCCCACAACAGACACCCTGTGAGGTAGGTGGGGCTCAGAGAGCTCTTGACAGAAACGGCTCTTTTTTCAAGAACAGCGCTTATCAGAGCTATGGCTTGCCCAAGGTCCTCCAGCCAGGTGCAAGTGGAGGAGTGGGGAATCAAACCCGGCTCTCCCAGATTAGAGTCCACGCACTTAACCACTACACCAAATAAATTTTTAAAAACTCAGAAGGTGGTTTCTGCAAACCTATTAAAATATCCAGGGGTTGAAAGACTGATGTGGAGCATCAGTGTGTCTGGTCTCCAAATGCAACATGAAAACAGGGATTTCAGCATACGATTAACTTTGTTTTCTTGTTTTTCAGCATCGGCGGGCCATAAGATTGGCCACCGCAGCTAAATTCAGGGAGAAACAGCAGATGAAAGAGCTGCAGAAGGTAAAGAGAAAGGAAGAGAAGACCCTCGTACCCGAAGACCCAACCGAGGCAGTTTTTGAAACACCAGCAGAAGAAAAGCCAGTGGAAATCCAGCTGGTGAAACCAGACCCGAAACCCAGCTTGAAGAAAAAGAAGAACAAACTGTACCAACGACAGAGAAAGCTGAAGAAGAAGCTCGGTAGAACCGGAGCATAGAATGTCCCAAGAGAGGAATAAGCCAGGACTTGAAAAAGCAGAGACTTTTGCTATAGTTTTGTGGCTTAATTTGTGTACAGCAACTTTTTAAAAAACTACGCTCTTGTCATCAATTTCGAATTTTTTAGAACAAATTTTTTTCAAATATTTTATTATTGTTACTGTTTTGTGGACCATAAAAAAGCAACCTATTCATTATAACTCTGTACGAATTGTGCCACAACCAAATTAAAGGTCCATAACAAATTAAAATTAAATGTCGGCAGATGTCTAGAAAACACTATATGGTGTCAAGAATATTCCCAGTGTCTGTCAGCTTCGCCTACAGTTTTAATGATCGGAAACACGTAAAAATTGCATTTCCTGCCTCGAAACGTTCCTAACGTGACGCAGGTGGATCAGCTGGAAGTTGTTCTTACACTTTTTCTGCAGAGGAGCTGTGGTTGCCAGTGCCGTGCTTGTCCCATCATGCATCCTTAACCTGCGGAGCCTGCCCATGCTATGTGCTGACGCCTCCATGTTGCATGTTCTGCAGCGGCTTGTAATGTAGGATCTTTGCAGCAAGTGAATCAAGAAACTGCAAATGTGCCTTCATCCTCATTGGATCCTAATGGAATTCCTATTTAGGGGCTGATTAACAGATGTAGGTCCATGCCCATATGTGCAGAGAATGGTGGCTGTAGGGTGTTGGCTCGACATGTATCCTGGCATATAGGAGAAGAAGAGAGGAATTGGTTTTTATAACCCGCCCTTCACTACCCAAAGGAGTCTCAGATTGGCTTACAGTCTCCTTTCCCTTCCCCTCCCCACAACAGACACCCTGTGAGGTAGGTGGGGCTGAGAGAGCTCTTTTGAGAACTGCTCTTGACAGAACAGCTCTGAAAGAACTTGTGACTGACCCAAGGTCACACCAGCAGCTGCATGTGGAGGAGTGGGGAATCAAACCCGGTTCTCCCAGATTAGAGTCTGCGCTCCTAACCGCTACACCAAACTTGACCGGGATGGCCCAGGTTAGCCCAATTTCTTCGGATCTTGGAAGATAAGCAGGGTCGGCCCCAGTTACTACTTGGATGAGCGGCCCCTGAGGAAGCTTAGGGTTTCCGGTTTAGAGAGCCAGTTTGGTGTAGTGGTTAAGAGCAGCAGGACTCTAATCTGGAGAACCGGGTTTTATTCCCCACTCCTCCTCCACATGAAGCCAGCTGGGTGACCTTGGGTCAGTCACAGCTCTCCCAGAGCTCTCAGCCCCACTTACCTCACAGGGTGTCTGTTGTGGGGAGAGGAAGGGAAGGTGATTGTGAGCTGCTGTGAGTAAAGGGTAGGGTATAAATCTAACTTCTTGCTATGCAAAGACTGGTAAGGGCAAAACTACCTCTGATTGGCCTTGAAAACCCTACAGGGTTGCTGTAAGTCAGCTGTGACTTGACATTACTTTCCACCTTATAGGAATCAGTATGGTCATTCTCAGATGATGGTGGTGATGATGATTTGAATTTATAAAACACCCTTCCCCGAAGGGCTCAGGGCAGTGTACATCAAAGTAAGCATAACAAAACAGTGAATAAAATTAGTGATCATTAATCAATAAAACAGAATACGATGTACACAGTTGATGGCATACAAATCACATTGCTACCCTGTGGGGTGGCTCCCTTATAGGGAAATAGATCAGGCAGATAGAGACCATGGTTAGGAACTGTTGCTGTCCTCAATCGTAGGCCTGGTGGAACATCTCTGTTTTGCACGCCCTGTGGAACTGGGCCAAGGTCCCACAGGGCATGGATTTTGCTAGAATAGGGAATTTCCACCCGGCAGGGGCCAGGGCTGAAAAGGCCGTGGCTGAGGACAGCCAGACTACTTTTGGGCCATGGATCACTAGTACGTTTTGATCACCTGAGTGTAGAGCTCTTGGGGGGGGGGGGCATACTGGGTGAGGCGTTCCCACAGGTATGTTGGTCCCAGATCTTAAGGGCTTTGAAGATCAAAACCGGAATCTCGAAGTGGATCCAGTGCTCAACTTGGAGCCAGCGTAGATGGCAAAGCACAGGCCGAAGATGTGCAGACATTGGGGTACCCTCTGGACAAGCTGCAATTTCCGGACCAGCCTCGAGGGTAGCCCTGCATAGAGCAAATTACCGTAATCCAGCTTTGAGGTGACCATTGTTTGGATCACTTCGGCAAGTTCGGTGCTGGAGAGGTAGGGGGCAAATTGCCTGACTTGGTGAAGTTGAAAAAATACCAGCCTGACAACATTTGCTACCTGGGGCTCCACTGTGAGAAGGCCAGCGGCCTGGTTTCACTACCTGTGCTTAATACCTCAAGCAGGCACTTGAAAAGAGGTATCAGGGGCCCTACCTACTCCATCCCACTGGCTAGGTCCTGAAAGGGGGGGCGGGGCGTTAGAAAAAGATGGCAGCCTCACTTTACACAACCCACCACATTCCATGACAAGTATTTGCATTCTTTCTTTTATCCAAGCGCGAGGGAGAAAGCTAGCAGTGCAAATCTACTCAGCTTGTCTCCAGTCTATGCTCTTTAACTGCAACGTACGCACCGGAGTCACGCTGCACCGGACTGCACTTAGCTGTTTTCACTCCCATCTATCTACTGATTGCATTTCCAGTTTAGATCTATATGCATGTTGCCTCTTTGCATGCATTTAACGATGAGAGGCCCCCGCAAAGCAAAACAGAACCCCCCTGATTCCCCCCCCCCCCCTTCCCCCGAAGGTTCGCGTCCCCCGGGTTCCATCCCATCAAAGGCCGAGGCGGCGCTTCGGAACGTTGGCGTCCCCGGCGTTCTATGACGTCGGAGGGATTCCCTGCGGCCCGACGTCCCGCGCCTCCTCCGGCTCCGCCTCCCAACCCGGTCGTGGGAAGTGGCTTCGACGCCTGCATGGCTCCTTCCGGCCTCGCGCCCTCCCTCCCCTCGCCGGCTGCGGCTGTCCGGACCGCCACGCGGGTGCCGGCCGAGGAGGGCAAAGCCGGCTGCGGGGCTCCGGCCGCCTTTCCGGGCGAGGGGCTCCGAGGATGAAGTGTCACTACGAAGTGCTGGGCGTGAAACGCGACGCGGGCGAGGAAGAGCTGAAGAGATCCTACCGGCGGTTGGCACTGCGGTGGCACCCAGGTAGGAGCCGGGCCTGGGTGCGCCGTGGGGGAACTTCCTTCTGACTCTGCGGGGCGAGGAGGGGAGACGGCGGGTTGCTCTCCTTGTTTTCCCGTCTCTTTTAATTCTTTTTCTTCTGAATTGTAGCCTCCTTCTTTTCTTACCCTTAATGCTTCTTAGTGATCCTCTTCCCATTTGGGGCAAGAGAGTGGGAGATTGCTAGTAGCGGATTAGATTCCCCCCCCCCCCGGCCAAATTTCCCAAAGTATGTGGAAGGAGTCACGGGAATTAATTGCTTGACCCATAGAAAAGGTCGGTTTTCATGATTCGGGGTGTACATTGGCTTAATCCAGTTTTTTTGAAACCCGGAATATGGCAGCCTGTCTGGTTTGAGGATCTGACTGAGAAAGCATAGCGCTCAGGGCAGCCTACGTATGTAAAGTTACACTAAGTCCTCCGAAACGTTTGATTTCTGTTTGGAGAGACATGGGAGAGGGGTAGGTTTTTTTAGGAACTTGGAGGACTACAGGTTTAGTGGCGGTGGCTTCCAGAAAAGTCGTAAACATTCCTAATGGAGCATGTGATGCTGGGAATTGACCACTCTAGGCTTCGTCCAGGATGGGGAAGGGTGTCTACATAGCTGGGGAATGAATTGTTCCAGTCGAGGTCATACATAATAGCTGCAGCTGGCAAGCAAGGTATGTGTTGTGATGACGTGGAGCCAGTGGAACGTGGGTTTGATCAGTGCCTTTGACATCTTCCTAAAGCCTTTCATAGTAACTGGGCTGGTTGCAGTCTTCTCTTTGGTGTAGTGGTAAGGAGAGTGGACGCTAATCTGGGAGAACCGGGTTTGATTCCCCACTTCTCCACATGCAGCTGCTGGCGTGACCTTGGGTCAGTCACAAGTTTGGTGACTGGTGTAGTGGTTAAGTGCACGGACTCTAATCTGCTAGAACTGGGTTTGATTCCCCACTCCTCCACTCGCACCTGCTGAATGTCCTTGGGCAAGCCATAGTCCTGGCACAGCTGTTCTTGAAAAAGAGCAGTTTCTGTCAGAGCTCTCTCAGCCCCACCTACCTCACAGGGTGTCTGTTGTGGGGAGGGGAAGGGAAAGGAGATTGTAAGCTGCTCTGAGACTCCAAGTGAAGGGCAGAGTATAAATCCAATCTCTTCTCCTCCTCCTCCTCCTCCTCCTCCTCTCTTGTGCTTCTTCTGTCTCTGTCTGCCGAAATACTTTTACCCTGGTCTTACTCCAGAATGCCCTGGGCAGCAAACACAGGGCCATATGCAGATCTTTGACTCCAAGACAATAATTGTGCAGGATATTTTATACAGCATTCGGAGCGGGGGAGGTTGAGTGTTGTCTTCTTGTATTACCATGTGATAGAAGATTATGGGATTCTTTGTTTTGAAATATATTGTGAAAAAAGTATTTATGTTAGAGTGATCAGATGTTCTCCTTTCAAAGGACATGTCCTCTTTTTTTTGGTGGCCATCCTCTTTCGAGCTCTTTTTTAAAAAAATGGATGAAAATGTCTTCTTTGACGGTTGGAAGGTTAGGAATATTCCTAATTAGTAGCAATTATCACCGCTTAAATAGCAGAGGTATTTCAAATGAGGCTTGTCATAGTGATCACTTGTTTGAAGTAGTCACTTGGGTAATGTGTCCTCCTTTTTGCTTTACAGAATATGCTAGCCCTAATTTAGGTCGCCTTAAAATTCACCATCAGGAGTCTAAAGCGGAGGTTTGGATTTTTTCGAAGGGTCCCACAAAATCAAGTTTCAGTAACAGCACTGCAATGAAACATCACCAGATTTTGATCCTCAGCAAAATTTGGTTTCCTTTCTAAGTGGTAGCCTCTCTCTGCTATAGCCTCGGTGTGGCTGGTCATGTGAGAATCCATTTGTGTGTGATCATTTCAGCCCAGATGGGTTTTTCAATAGGAGGGATGAATTCTATTCCTGCCTCTTTTTGTTTGCGTTGAAAAGGTGCTTGGGTTTGCAACTCTTTCTGTATTCTCCCCAAAGCAATCGAATCATCTGAACAATGTATTATTGGCAGCCTTCAAGCAGCGGCTGGACAAATACTTGTCAGGGGGTGGTCGAGGCTGATCCTGCACTGAGCAGAGGGTCGGACTACATGGCCTGTATGGCCCCTTCCAGCGCCATGATTTTGTGCTTTACTACACTGCTCTCTGAGGAGTTTATGGTGCCCCATGGTTCTATAATAGCTATTCATCCGTTCCATAAAATATGCCCGTTTCGTATGTCCTTGGGCTGTGCCAGTGAGTGCCGCCCTCGCCCTCTCAATCGTCCTTCAGTGCCAGGGCGCTTGGTGTCACGCTGAAGCCTGTGTGTGTGTTTCTGACTTGTATCTATGCCTTCAATTCTGCTGCTGTGTCTTTGCAGACAAGAACCTAGAAAATGCTGAGGAGGCGGCCGAACAGTTCAAGTTGATCCAAGCAGCGTATGACGTACTAAGTGATCCGCAAGAACGAGCCTGGTAAGTCAGGGAGGCCTTTACCTCCTCTGTAGCGGCCCGCAATTTAATAGAGTCCCTTGCCCTGCAGTTTATTACAGAAGTTGCTTCCTAAATAAAACAAAAAACACTGGTGTAGATTGTAGGCATACTGGCAGGCTTAAATCTTGGTTGCTTTTTCTGCAAACGGAAGGCATTCCCACTTGTGGAAAAGGAGAGGGCAGGTTTTGACTATTCACCTTCTGGGGAGGCAGGTATACTGACCACCAGGAGAAGTATTTTGGGGATGTGGCAGGCTGCAGTATTTGGAATGGGAAGGTAGGGAAGTTCCCTTCTACAAATGTTGCAGTCAGTGTTTCCTCTAAGCTGAGTTAGTGTGAGCTAGCTCACAGTTTTTTAGCCTCCGGCTCACAGATTTTTGCCTTAGCTCGGGAAGGCGGGCTACAGAGCAAACTAATTGATGCAGAAGCCAAATCACTCGCTCACAACTTTAATGCCAGTAGCTCACAAAGTAGAATTTTTGCTCACAAGACTCGACAGCTTAAAGCATTGGTTGCAGTACTTGCATATCATACAATCCAAGCCCAAGTGTTTTGTACAAATCATCTCAGCAGTCCTTACAACAGTCCTGCAAGGTAGGACTCTTGAGAACATAAGAAGATCTCTGCTGGATCAGATCAGTAGTCCATCTCGTCCAGCATCCTGTCTCACACAGTGGCCAGCTAGTTCCTCTGGAGGGCCAACAACAGGGCATGGAGGCCGAGGCCTTTTTCTGATGTTGCCTCCTGGCTCTAGGATTCAGTAGACTAATGCCTCTGAATGTGGAGGTTACCCTCAGTCACCGTGGCTAGTAGCCACTGATAGACTTATCCTCTGTGGATCTGTTTATTCCTGTGGCCATCACTACATCCTCTAGCAGCAGATTTCACATTTTAGTCACTTTCTGTGTAAAGTAGTATTTCCTTTTGTTCAGCCTGATATTATTATACAGAACAGTTGCTGCAAAGTGCACACAATTATAAGAATAATAGACAATGATTAAGCTATAACACTGATGAGCTTCATGATGTTTAATCTTTGTTCTTAACAGCAAGGCACCATCAAACAAAGGATGATGACATCAAGATGAACGGACAGGGACGAACTTCTCGAGTTACCATTCGTTTCGATGACTCTTTATCGTACAGGTCTCAATTCTGTATCCATGTACAATAAAATAACTGCTGGATATTCTTGAATTCAGACGCCTACTCCAAAGCTCTTAGCTAACAAGTATAACCTTTCAATCGGACGAACAAGTCAAGACTCTGAATTCAAGAATATCCAGCAGTTATTTTATTGTACATGGATACAGAATTGAGACCTGTATGATAAAGAGTCATCGAAACGAATGGTAACTCGAGAAGTTCATCCCTGTCTGTTCATCTTGATGTCATCATCCTTTGTTTGATGGTGCCTTGCTGTTAAGAACAAAGATTAAACATCATGAAGCTCATCAGTGTTATAGCTTAATCATTGTCTATTATTCTTATAATTGTGTGCACTTTGCAGCAACTGTTCTGTATATTGTCATTTCATTGCTGCCCCCTGTGTTGTTATACCATTGAACCTACTGCCCATCAGCTTCATTGGGTCCCCCCCCGCTTGTTCTCAATTTGGAGAAGGAGGGCTGAGCTGAAGTGATTTCTTACCTATGGAGATCCTGGCAGAACGGAGATTTGACCCCAAGGCCTTTGGTTTGTAGCTCGATCTCTAAGCCACTAGTCATGTAATATATTGATATGCATCTGTGTTATGTGCTATCAGGTCTCTTCTGACTTATGGTGACCCTATGATTAACGGCCCCCGAAATGTTCTATCGTTAATAGCCTTGCTCATGTCTTGCAAACTAAAGGCCAACGTATTTATATGCTGCATTCTTAATTTGTAAAAAAAATCCCAAGGTGGTCTCCAGCATGAAAATGTACCGGCAACAAAATTCAGTGCAAAACCAAATCCCATAAGAACAAGTAATAAAAAGGGGGTGGGTACCCTAAAAGACCCTCAGCAGATATTAAAATTATTACAGTTGGTTAACGGCTGTGAGAAACAGATAAAATTAAAAATTTCAGTGTTTGATTTGCAAAACCAAGAGTAAATAAACAGCAACAGGCAGCAAAAGCAGTAGCGAAAAGCTCCACAGTTTTCCTAGCTAACCATTCAAACTGGCCCATCCAAATGAAAAGCCATAACCTGGTGTGTGAGATTCGGCACCAGGTGGAAGTTTATGGGGATGGCATTCCACAGGGAAAGTGGTCACCACTGAAAAGGCCCTGTCCTTATTTAACCACCTGTCTCCCTTCTGAAGGTAAGTGCGCATGGATCAGGGCCTCAGATGTAGGTCGTAACTGTCAGGTTCAAGTGGGAGTCGGTGATCCTTTAGGATTATATTGATTGGACTGCCTTCAAAGGCAGCCCCGCAAAGAGCTCATTGCAGGTGTCTAACCTGAAGGTGACCCATTCTTGGATAACTATGTTGGACTTCGCTCTCTAGCCACTGAAAAATAAATACAATTGCAACCTTTTCTTTCCTTCCCTCCCCACTCCTGAACACATAGGAATTACTGCCAAGGGGGGGTAAGGTCCAAGATCTCTGGCAGATTCAGACTGCTGACCTTGAGTTTCCTCTTCCAAGAGTCATCTTAATGCCTACCATTTACACTGAAGTAGTCCCATTGATTTGAATGGGGATTGCGGCATGACAGTAGCTTGTGGCTCAGTGGCAGCAACCCAGAAGCGGTCGAGTCCGACTCTTCGCGACCCCATGGACCAGATCACGCCAGGCCTTCCTGTCTTCCGCAGTCCTCTGAATGAATGAATGGAGTTACACTGTTCTAAGACCATTAACTTCAATGGATTTAGAAGGGTGCAAGTCTGCTTAGGAATGCACTGCTGGTACTTGAGGATTCAAAGACCTCTAGTTGTCTTTCTCTGTGGACTGAAAAGCTTCTGTAATCCCAGGCTGTGTCGTCTTGTTTTTCTGTCCCTTCTTAGGTATGACAATCACAGAGAAGCTCTGTTGAAAGGCGGGGTGGATGGAGAATACCGGGATGACAGCCTGGATATCCTGCGCTTCTTCACTGTGACCTGTTACTCTGGCTACGGAGATGACGAAAAGGTAAACCAGAGTCGCCCTCCAAAAGCAGGGGAAAGGAGCAGAAGTTATACAGTGGTAGAGTTCACAAAGAGGAAGGACCTATTGGGTATTGTAAATAAGAAGCGGGAGACTGACCAGTTATGAAGGTGCACAGAGAGTTTATATAGTTATAAAGGTGTTATAAATACAGTGTTATAAATACAGAGATATTTACAGGCTGTTGAACAGCATGTCATGCCTTAGTCTATGAGAACTGAGTCCCCACCAGCTTACTAAGCTGATAGCTATTATGCTAAACCCCAGCCAATCTCTAACAAGGTGATGTAATCACTAACTCTAACAAGACCTGAAAGAGCAACACCTGCTAGAAACACCTGGCTGTAATTACATGATTACTAGCATGACAGCTAGGTCTGACAAACAGATCAAACTGATCTGTAGTAACTGCTTGCTACCTCTATCACTCTGACATATATCTCAATAGGACACCCCCCCCCCCAAATCAGGAGCAATGCTGTTGAGAGTAGCTCACCTAGGGTGAATAAAACCTGCCTCGAGGAGATCAGCCAGGACTGCTTGGGTAGAATAGCTGGTGTTTTGAAGCAGTCAATGTGCCACAGAGGGCCACATGTATGGGCAGAGGCTAGTGGGAAAATATTGTGGACTAGTAACTTGTATAGACTTATTTGCAAGTCCCTCCTCACACCAGTCCCTCATGGATCATCCTGTGCACTCTTGATTTCTAAAGCATACCACAACTGAAGAGCCGGGGCGTTGCAAAGGAGCTGATTATAGGTGTTTCAAACAAGTGAGCCACTTTGTATGTTTCACGCCAAGGGAAGACCTTTAGGGTCTCAAGATGACTTGGACCTGGAGGAAAGCTTGTTCCTAAGCCGACATTTGCCCTTCACTTTGCCCAGACATGAGCAAAATTCAACTGTCATTCTTTCAGTTTAAACAAACTTATTTCTCTGTTTGCTGTGTAGCAGGCTATGGAGTTGGAGTCCCATCCCTGACTGGAGAGAATCCCGCATAAGCCCTTTTGGGATCTCTTGTAAAAGAAAGGCAGAATTTGAATGCTGGAAAGTACATAAAGTAGTATTTTCTGCTGCAGTAGGAAAAGAGGAAGACCCAACAGGAGATTGATTGACTTAGTAAAGGAATCCACAGCCTTAAGAACATAAGAACATAAGAGACGCCAATGTTGGATCAGGCCAAAGGCCCATCCAGTCCAACACTCTGTGTCACACAGTGGCCAGAAATACCAGTGCCATCAGGAGGTCCAGCAGTGGGGCCAGGACATTAGAAGCCCTCCCACTGTTGACCCCCCCAGCACCAAGAAGACAGAGCATCACTTGCCCCAGAGCCCCTATCTATACCTTGTGGCTAATATCCACTGATGGACCTCTGCTCCATATGCTTATCTAATTCCCTTTTGAAGCCGTCCATGCTTGTAGCCGCCACCACTTCCTGTGGCAGTGAATTCCATGTGTTAATCACTCTTTGGGTGAAGAAGTACTTCCTTTTATCCGTTCTAACCCGACCGCTCTGCAGTTTCATGGAGTGCCCACGAGTTCTTGTTTTGTGAGAAAGGGAGAAAAGTACCTCTTTCTCTACCTGCTCTTTCCCATGCATAATCTTATAAACCCCTCAGTCGTCTTTTCTCCAAGCTAAAGAGCCCTAAGCACTTTAACCTTTCCTCATAGGGAAAGTGTTCCAACCCTTTTATCATTCGAGTTGCCCTTTTCTGCACTTTTTCCAAAGCTATAATATCCTTTTTAAGGTGTGGTGCCCAGAACTGCACACAGTATTCCAAATGAGGTCTCACCATTGATTTATATAGGGGCATTATTATATTGGCTGATCTGTTTTCAATACCCTTCCTAATAATCCCCAGCATAGCATTGGCCTTCTTTATTGCAGTCACACACTGTCTCGACATTTTCAGTGAGTTATCCACTACAACTCCAAGATCTCTCTCTTGCTCAGTCTCTGCCAGTTCAGACCCCATCAATGTGTATTTATATTTAGGATTTTTGGCTCCAATGTGCATCACCTTGCACTTGGCCACATTGAACCCCATTTGCCATGTTGACGCCCACTCGCCCATCCTTGACAGATCCCCTTGGAGTGCCTCACAATCCTCACTGGTTTTCACCACCCTGAACAACTTTGTATCATCCGCAAATTTAGCCACTTCACTGCTTACTCCCATCTCCAAATCATTAATGAACAAGTTAAAAAGCAGTGGACCAAGTACTGATCCCTGCGGTACCCCACTGCTTACCACCCTCCACTGAGAAAATTGCCCACCTACACTCACTCTCTGTTTTCTATGAACTAGCCAGTTTTTGATCCATAAAAGGACTTGTCCTTCTATCCCATGATTTTTGAGCTTACTTAGGAGCCTTTGATGAGGAACTTTATCAAAAGCTTTCTGGAAGTCAAGGTAAATAATATCTATTGGATCCCCCTTGTCCACATGTTTGTTCACCCCCTCAAAGAACACTAACAGGTTAGTGAGACAAGATCTTCCCTTACAGAAACCGTGCTGAGTCTGCCTCAATAGGTTTTGTTCATCTATGTGCCTACTAATTCTTTCCTTAATAATGGTTTCCACCAATTTACCCGGTATCGACGTCAGACTGACTGGCCTGTAATTTCCCGGATCTCCTCTGGAACCCTTTTTAAAGATGGGAGTGACATTAGCTACCTTCCAATCCTCAGGAATGGAGGCAGATTTTAAGGAAAGATTACATATCTTTGTCAGGAGATCTACAAGTTCACATTTGAGTTCTTTCAGAACTCTCGGATGTATGCCATCTGGGCCTGGTGATTTTTCAGTTTTTAAGTTGTCTATCAGTTTTAGGACCTCCTCTCTCGTCACCTCAATCTGACTCAGGTCTTTCAACACCCCTCCTGAAATCAGTGGTTCTGGAGTGGGCAAGCACTTCTCATCTTCCACAGTGAAGACGGAGGCAAAAAATGCATTTAGCTTCTCAGCCATTTCCCTATCATCCTTCAATACTCCTTTTACCCCTTGGTCGTCCAAGGGCCCCACTGCCTCCCTGGCTGGTTTCCTGTTTCTAATGTATTTGAAGAAAGTTTTATTGTTGGTTTTTACGTTTTTTGCTATATGCTCCTCATATTCCCTTTTTGCCTGCCTGACCTCAGACTTGCATTTTATTTGCCATAGCCTGTGTTCCGTTTTATCAGCCTCACTGTGACTAGCTTTCCACTGCTTAAAGGAATTCTTTTTACTTTTTACAGCCTCCATTACTCTGTTTGTTAACCATGCAGGCTTTTTCCTATACCTGTTTGTGCCTTTCCTAACCTGCGGAATATATATTTTTTGAGCTTCTAGGATCGTAGTTTTAAATAGATCCCAAGCTTCCCCAATTGTTTTGACCCTTTCTACTTTTCCTTTCAGTTTCCTCCCCACGTGTCCCCTCATATCAGAGAAATTACCCCTTTTAAAGTTAAAAATGGTTGTGTGAGTCTTTTTGGCCAATTCTCTATTTGTACAAATGATGAACTCAACAACATTATGATCACTGTTTCCAAGCGGTGCAATCACTTTTACATCTCTCACCAGGTCTTGAGTGTTACTTAGGACCAAATCAAGGATCGCCTCTCCCCTGGTAGGTTCCGTGACCATCTGCTCCATAGCACAGTCATTTAGAGTGTCTAGAAACTCAATCTCTTTTTCCCGGCTAGAACACATATTGACCCAATCAATGTGTGGGTAGTTAAAATCACCTATTATTACACAGTGTTTTTGTCTAGTTGCTATCTTTAAGGCATTCATCATTTTATAATCCTCCTCTATCTTTTGATCTGGTGGGCGATAACAAACTCCCAGTGTTAAGTTTCCTTTTGGCCCCCCTATTTCAACCCATAGAACTTCCAGAAGCGAATCCAATTCACTTAGCCTCTCAATCTTTCTAGACTTTATACCCTCTCTGACATACAGAGCTACCCCACCTCCAACCCTTCCCCCCCTATCCTTCCGATATAATATATAACCGGGAATCACTGTGTCCCACTGATTTTCCTCATCCCACCAAGTTTCAGAAATACCCACAATGTCTATTTTTCCCTCCGACACCAAGCACTCCAACTCCCCGATTTTACCTCGGACACTTCTAGCATTTGTATAGAAACAGCTGTAATTTCCCTTACAAGTTAAGCCTGCATCCTTCCTCTTGCTATCTCGAGTCGTTGTCCGGCAGTCCATGTCACCAGCCATGGCCTCTGTGGACAATTTCAATCCACCTCCCTGTAGAAAAGCAACCGGTACCCCCTCACCTCTCTCAGATGAGCCAACCCGAACCAGAGACTTTTCATCTCCTGTCGGCTTTCCCCCAATATTCAGTTTAAAAGCTGCTCTGCCACCTTTTTGATTTTAAGCGCCAGCAGCCTGGTTCCTTCTCGGGACAAGTGGAGACCGTCTCGCCTGTACAGCTCCCTCTTGTTCCAAAAAGAATCCCAGTGCCTAACCAACCTGAACCCTTCCCCCCTACACCATCGTCTCATCCACGCATTGAGACTCCTGATCTCTGCCTGTCTCTCCGGCCCTGCGCGTGGAACAGGTAACACTTCTGAGAAGGCTACCTTGGAGGTCCTGGACCTAAGTTTCCTGCCCAGCATCCTAAATTTCTCCTCCAGGACCTCACGACTGCATTTCCCCACATCGTTGGTGCAGACATGCACCACGACCACTGGCTCCTCCCCAGCACTATCTACCAGCCTATCTAAAACACGCGTAATGTCCGCTACCTTCGCACCAGGCAGGCAAGTCACCATACGGTCAGTACGCGGGTTCGCCACCCAGCTGTCTACCTGTCTAAGGATCGAATCACCCACTACCAAGAGCCCCCCTCCCACCCTGCCCAGGGATGGTTCCTTGGTGCAAAAGGATACCCGCTCACCAGCTGGGGAAGAGGTCCCTTCTGAGGGCACATTCCCCTTATCCTCAGCATGGTGCCCTGTTTCCCCTAGACCCTCATGCTCCCTGACAGCAGCGGGGCTGCCAGATCCAGAGTGGGACGTATCTAACAAGTCCCCGAGAGTCTTTTATGTGCACCTAGCTGACTGTCTCTGCTTCTCCAGGTCAGCCACCTTGGCCTCAAGGGAGCACACACGTTCCCTGAGAACCAGGAGCTCCTTGCACCGAGCACACACCCAAGACTTCTGCCCGGTGGGCAGATAGTCATACATGTGACACTCCGTGCAGTCTGCAAGGCCTGAGCAAAGTTGTCAATGACAGGATGTTTTGGAGGTTGTTGATTCATAGAGTTCCCATAAGTCAGACGTGAGTTGGCAGCACATGTAGGTGTACCACGGAGTCACAAATTTTGTGCATGCTGTAGAACTTGATAGGGGGCTGCCGGTGTGGGTGTGGACATAAACAGGAATGTTTTTAAAGTTAGGTAAGAAGGATCGATAACTGGCTGCCTAGGGAGAATTTTTACTCACCACAGGGGACAGTGTTTTCTGATCTGTCAAAGGTTGTGTGGTCGCTTCACAAAAATGACCCCATTTATTCATCTGTGCCCTGCTTTTTCTTCCCAATGTGGACTGTAAGTGGTTGATGTCACTCTCCTCTCCTTTATTCCCATCACAACAGCCCTGTGAGGTGGATTAGGCTGAGAGTGTGGCAGAGGCCCAAGGTCACCCAGCGAGGTTCCTTGGCTGTATTTGAACCTGGGATCTTCCAGATCCTAATCTAACTATTTAGACAGCCAGTTTGGTGTAGTGGTTAAGAGCGCAGACTCTAATTTGGGAGAACTGGGTTTGATTCCCCAGCCCTCCACATACACCTGCTGGTGTGACCTTGGGTCAGTCATAAGTTCTCTCAGAGCTGTTCTCTCAAAGGCACTTCTTGAGAGAGCTCTCTCAGCCCCGCCTACCTCACAGTGTGTCTGTTGTTGGGAGGGGAAGGGAAAGGAGATTGTAAGCTGCTCTGAGACTCCTTCAGGTAGTGAAGGGCAGGGTATAAATCCAATCTCCTCCTCCTCCACCTCCTCCTACCACTAAACAGCACACTCTCTCTCTGTGTGCATCGGAACCAGGTTTTCTCTGTAGATAAACATAACGTTTTATTTTTAGGGTTTCTATGCGGTGTATCGGCACGTCTTTGAAATGATTGCAAAAGAAGAGATGGAATCCATGCCCGAGGAAGACGCTGAAGAATTTCCAAGTTTTGGAGACTCTCAGAGCGACTATGACATGGTAAGTCTTGAACTGAGTTTCTGGACAGTTTTCAAGGACTGATGTATAGTTTAGTTTCCCACTGAAGCCTGCTAAAGAACTCCTTTTTTCTCGGCAGTGATTATTAGAATGTACTCATTTATCTGTGTTTTAATTAGTCAGCTGCCTCGGTGGCCCTTGTGGGGGCAGAAGGGCGGGATATCAATTTTGGGAAATAAAAACAAAATAAAAATGTATGTCCAGGATTCACCCATGTAACTAAAACTGTTACAGATGTAATGAAATGAATGAGACTGGATTGGTGGGAGACGCAGCCAGCTCCTCTGCATGTCTGCACAGAACCAAGCCCTGTAACTTCCAGTGGGATTGTAAACGGAGGGGATGTATAGAGTTGGGGCACCTGACCCCAGACCTCTTAGGGGGTCAGCCTTCAAGCAGACGTCCACTCTCAGAGAGGCAAGGAGTATGCCAATGTAGAGTTGAGCTGAGTGGTCTAAAGTCCAGTGGTCCACTGAGCAAGTTGATATCTGAGGAGGATTCACTTACAAACTATCTTGATCTATACCTGGGCTGTCTGTATTTACACCTGGGCTACAGTGGCCTCCGTCAAAGCTTGTTCTGTTCCTAAGTCTGTGTCTCCAGGGTGTGCCTCTTCCTGCTTAAAGAGGTCACCGTGCTTCCTCTTGGGAGTAGAGTGGGTGTAAAAGGGAAGTATCCTGCCAGGAGAAGCCTAGAATGACTGTGCAAATTGTGGCTAGCTGTAGATGCCGCATGTTCTTACCTGGCAGCAGTGGAGTCTCTGGCAACACTCAAGATTTTTTTCCTCTGGCAGCTGCTTATACTGAGTTGCTCCTTAAGGCCCTGTTCCTCTTAACGTCACCCTTATATAATGAATGCGACAGAATTGTATTAATGCTGGTCTCCGTGCTGCAGGGCTTTACTGCCGTGTAAGTGTGCTGCGGTGGCTCAAGTGGTTAAGACGCTGAACTGAGGCTGTGGAAGGGCAGTAGTTCAGCAGTTCGAGACCCGGGTGCCGCAAGACGGGGTGAGCTCCTGTCTCTAGTTCCAGCTCCTGCCAACCTAGCAGTTCGAAAGCAAGAAATTGCAAGTAGATAAATAGGTACCACTTCGGTGGGAAGGTAACAGCGTTCCGTGCGCCTTGGTGTTTAGTCATGCCGGCCAAATGACCACGGAAACGTCTTAGGACAGCGCTGGCTCTTCGGCTTTGAAACGGAGTTGAGCACCGCAACCCTAGAGTCGGATTCGACTGGCTTTCGAGGAAGGGAACCTTTACCTTTACCTTAAGTGTGCGTAGGGTTGCATCCTAAATAAGACAAGGATTGTTAACACCTGAGTATTGGGGGGATAGTTACTACAGAAATAGTCCATCCTGCAGCAGAGGAAAGAGCGAGAGTCCAGGAGCACCTTAAAGACTAACAACATTTGTGGTAGGGGATGAGCTTTTCTGAGTTACTGCTCACTTCTTCAGATACAGCTAGAAGTGAAAAAGCGAGCAGTGACTCACCAAAGTGACTCACCCTGCCACAAATTTTGTTAGTCTTTGGGGTGCTACTGGACTCTTGCTCTTTTCTCCTGCTACAGACAGACTACCCATCTTGAACATTATTACGAGGTAGCATTAGACCTAGAGGTAATGACCATCTAGAGGTTGACCATCTAGGTCAACGTCTAGGGCAGTGGTGGCGAACCTATGGCACGGGTGCCAGAGGCGGCACTCAGAGCCCTCTCTGTGGGCATGCGTGCCATCGCCCCAGCCAGGCCCAGACTATCATTAAAGTGTCGAATTCTCTGCCAAATAATTTTAAGTAAATGAAAGCATTTGGGGTTGCTTTCCTTACTATGTTTGAATCATCTTAAGTTAATGTTATGAGTTGTTTTTTCTAAAGTAATACCTCAGTATTCAGGTTGAATTGCCGTGTTGGCACTTTGCGATCAATAAGTGGGTTTTGGGTCGCAGTTTGGGCACTCGGTCTCTAAAAGGTTCGCCATCACTGTTCTAGGGGTACGTGGATTCAGAGACTAACCACTACCCCATACCAGAGTTATCTGTAGTGCAGGTTAGTATGCAGGTAAACTCAACATAGATCTAATTGACTGCTAAGAAGCCCTGTAAAATGTGTGCTTGCCTTTTGGCCCGTAGCTTTCTATTTATCACATACTTATGTAATATATATTTATTACAACAACCACCCTTTGAGGTAGTCTAGGCAGAGTGTGTGACCGGCTCAAGGTCACCCAGAAAGCTTCCATAGCAGAGTGGGGATTCAAACCCGGGTCTCCAAGATCCTAGGCTGACACTGTAACCACCGCACCATACTCACCTCTTTTGTGTCGGCTTGTTTCTTTTCATGCTCTTCTTCTTTCCGATTAGGTAGTCCACTGCTTTTACGCTCACTGGCAGAGTTTTTGCACGCGGAAGAATTTTGCCTGGACGGAAGAGTACGACACGCGGCAGGCCTCGAACCGCTGGGAGAAGCGAGCGATGGAGAAGGAGAACAAGAAAACCCGCGACAAAGCCAGGAAGGAAAGGAACGAGCTGGTCCGCGAGCTGGTGGCCTTCATCCGGAAGCGGGACAGGCGGGTCCAGGCCCACCGGAAGCTTCTGGAAGAGCAGAACGCCGAGAAGGCCAAGAAAGTGGAGGAGCTCCGCAGGCAGCAGAAACTGAAGCAAGCCAAGTACGAAAACAATGAGTGGTAGATTTTTCCCCCCGGGGGGCAAGACACACAGAAGCCCTGCTCCCACATTATTTCGAACACACGTACATCTGTTGGTAAGAGAAAGCCAACACATGTTCACTTCAAAAATAACTGGAGAACAGTGCCGGGGGCTGAACTCTCACGTCAGCATTGAATGTAACATGAGAAAAACTCAGCTCACGTGCAAACCAAAATGTGCACTGTACATAGATTGTAGGTGCACTCACTGCAGTGCGTACGGAGTGTAGTGTGATTCTGCCACTTGGCAGGGATTGTGGTGGTTGCTCAGTGATTTCCCACTTTCTGAGAGCTAATAGTTGCATTTCGCTGTATGTTGCAGCACTAAACGGCTGTAGTGTGCTAAGGTCATAGTGCTGACAAGAGTATGGCCGGAGCGCTCATGCCAACGTAGCAGTCATTCATGTGCTCCCTTTCACCTCTGCTGACCCTCCTACCGCTTGTGCCCTGCAGTGGTATAGAAACCGCAAACTGGGGAAAACAGAATGGTAAACCCACTCAAGTACTCAGATATGTAAGCAAATACAATCACTTTTATACCCAGGTACTATATCAGACTATATCATACTATGTCAGGTACTATATCCCTATATCAGGGGAGCTGCGGTGGCTCAAGTGGTTAAGACACTGAACTGCAGGCTGTGGAAGGTCGGTAGTTCAGCAGTTCGAGACCCGGGTGCCGCATGACGGAGTGAGCTCCCGTCTCTAGTTCCAGCTCCTGCCAACCTAGCAGTTCGAAAGCAAGAAATTGCAAGTAGATAAATAGGTACCGCTTCGGTGGGAAAGTAACAGCGTTCCGTGCGCCTTGGGGTTTAGTCATGCCGGCCACATGACCACGGAAATGTCTTCGGACAGCGCTGGATCTTCGGCTTTGAAATGGAGATGAGCACCGCAACCCTAGAGTCGGACTCGACTGGCTTTCGAGCCAGGGAACCTTTACTTTTACTATATGAGAAATATACAAAATTACATACAAGGCATAATAGCCAAAAATATACAATATCTCAGTGATATATAATAGAGCACTACAAGTTATAATGCTGATAGCAGTGGAACAATCATAATAGCAGTGGAACAATCATTACAAAGCAGCCAGCTTTCGCTTGGTTTCGTATCAAGACTTCATCAGAAGCAAATCAATTGCAAAACAAAGTTAATTTACAAACCAAGAAAAATCATAACACAGTATAAGGTAAATAATATAATCCTTTATTGCACTGGTTTTATATATCTATGTAGATTACATTTGTATGGATCTTTTTGCCTGCTTTGATGTACACGAAACCAAATGCATTCTTGTCTAGGTCACACTAGTGAAGAGGGGGAAATGTGTCCCGTTCTGGACCATTCCCCCACAGTGAGGAAAAACAAGATGTGTATAAAACTAACATATCAAGGCAAAGGCTAGAATTCATTCTGCAAACTTCTAGTCTTCTGTATCCAGGGAGTTTTTCTTTTTCTTTTTTGTATTTTTTTTTTAAAAATTCATGTTTGTGTGTGTGTGTGTGTGTGTGTGTGTGTGCGTACCTGGAAGTCCTGGCGCCCTCTGGCGACCTGACCCCTACTGGGGGCCTGGAGGATATTCAGAGAGGTGGCTGAATAAAGCCTGCCCCCGCCTCCCACCTCTGGTATTCCAAGGAGGTCTCCCATCCAAGTACTAACCACGGTCGACCCTGCTTAGTTTCTGAGATCTGATGAGGTTGGGCTTGCCTGAGCTATCCAGGTCAGGGTGGGAGTTTTTCTTTTAAAAACCTATGGAAGAGACTTCAGTCGTGCAGTTCTCTCACCCGCGTGCTTGAAGTGGTAGAGTCCAGGAACAGTTTTACCACTTCATCAGCTCTGTACAAAGACCGGCGCCTCCATATGCTAAACAGAGAGGTAAATACGAGGTAAATAAAGCCTGTCCTAAAGGTTCTGCTTCTCCATTTGCCCTGCTCCTCAAAGGTTGGCTGAGCAGTATAAAGAGCAGAGCTGGATCACCATGTCGGATCTCGAGCGGGAGCTGCAGCAAATGGAAGCCCAGTATGAGAAGGAGTTTGGCGACGGGTCCGACAGCGAGGAGGACGGAGAATCTCAAGAGCCAAAGGAAGGGCAAGAAGGTACAGACAGGCTTCCAGTTATAGGGGTGAAGCGTCTGGAAGAGTTTGCGGAGGGGGCAGGGGTGATTCCCCCCCCCCGTGTTTTCTATAAGCATATGGAGCAGAGGTCCATCAGTGGCTATCAGCCACAAGGTATAGATAGGGACTCTGGGGCAAGTGATGCTTTGTCTTCTTGGTGCTTGGGGGGGGGGGTCAACAGTGGGAGGGCTTCTAATGTCCTGGCCCCACTGGTGGACCTCCTGATGGCACTGGTATTTCTGGCCACTGTGTGACACAGAGTGTTGGACTGGATGGGCCTTTGGCCTGATCCAACATTGGCGTCTCTTATGTTCTTGTGTTCCCCCCAAGGATTTATTTTCCGGTTTTCCATGGTGAGACTTTCTTCTGAGTTAACATGAATTGGGCTCTGAGAATCTTTCCTGTGTTTTGCATGAGATGCCTCCTTTTTGTTTTCCAGACAAACAGAATGACGAGGCAGACGATGCTGAATATTATGATGATCTGTACTGCGTTGCTTGTGACAAATCCTTTAAGACCGAAAAAGCGTGAGTCCCCCCCCCCCCAGGAAACTGGCCTTTTGATCTGATTGCTTTACATGCATTTCTGTACACGCTCGCCTGGTTCTAAGCTCCACTGATTTCAGTGGGGCTTTCTCTAAGGTAGTTGTATGCAAGACTGCAGCCTGCGTTGACGAAACCGGCGCAGCTATTCCAGCGCTCAGGCCAACTTGGTCTCATCAAATGTCTTGACAACTCTCTGCAGCATGAAGAACCATGAAAAATCCAAAAAGCATCGGGAGATGGTCGCCTTGTTACGGCAGCACCTGGAGGAAGAGGAGGAAGAATTTTCCCTCGCTGCAGCTGATGAGAATGAGTTAGAAGCTAAAGAAGAGGAGGAGGAAGAAATACCCATGCAAAAGTATGTATTACAATAGACAAAAGCTTGTTACAAAAGAACCCGGAATCCCCGTATAATTCATTACGGAAGGGAAACTGAACTGAACTGTGCTAGAACTGTGCGCAGTAACTCCAGTCTGAGATACAATGATCCAACAAAGGGAGTTTTAAATACCCCAAAAATCTCGTTGGTCTCTAAGGTGCTACTGGAGTTGAATCAAGCTGTTTCAGTCTAAACAGTTGGTGGAAGAGACACAAGTTGGTGGAAGGCTCCATAGGCTTGAGGGAAGCATCAAAGTTGGCTTTGCAGAAGGAGTAGGATACAGGCTTAGACCAGAGTACCTTTGCATGGGATTGCCCTTTTGGGCTGCATCACCAACAAACAGGACAACCTTAAAGATGAAGCAGCTTTCATTCCAGCATATTTTGTGGGCTAGAGCTTGCTGAATCAGATGGTGTTCCGGCAAAGTAGACTATAATCGATGAGAGCTTATGGTTGATACAGTAAAAACATGTTAATTACTGATTCCCAGCAAACGAGAACAGTTTGGTCTGAGTCTGCTTCAGGTCGTCTTTCCAGGGCATTTCATCGGGTATGGTACAACCTTGATGAAGCCGAGCAGGCCTGTTCCGGCATGGGAGACCTCCTGGGAAGCTCCTGTCTGTCATCTTGAGGACCACGATTGATAAGAGGCAGGATAGGTTTGTAATGAGTTATATGAGAGAGCAGCGAGGTATGTGAGCCACAGAAGGGGTGGGTGGTGTTTGTGTTTATGGTAGTGTTGCCTCTTAACACTGGCATTCAGAGGATGCCCTCTGGCTTTGGAGGCACTTCTTAGTCATCTTGACTAATGGCCGTCGGTGGACCTCTCCTCCATGAATTGGCCTGATCTCCTTTTAACGCCATCTGTACTAGCAGCCATCCTTGGCAGTGAATTCCACAGTTGAATTACTCATTGTTTATTTGCCCTGAGTCTATTACGCACCGGCTTCGTTGGGAGAGGAGAAGTATTTCTCCCTGTCCTCTTCCTCCTCCTCCTCCTCCACATGCATAGTTTTATAAAATTGTATTAGATTATCTCTGCAGTTCTGTTCTGTAAATGGTTTGAAGAGTGTAATTGTCTTGTTTGGTGTAGTGGTTAGGAGCATGGGCTGTAATCTGGGAGAACCAAGGTTTGATTCCCCATTCCTCCACATGCAGCTGCTGGTGTGACCTTGGGTCAGTCACAAGTTCTTTCAAAGCTGTTCTCTCAAGAGGGTTCTCTCAGAGCTCTCTCAGCCCCACTTACCTCACAGGGTGTCTGCTGTGGGGAGGGGAAGGGAAAGGAGACTGTAAGGTGCTCTGAGACTCCTTCGGGTAGTGAAGGGCGGAGTATAAATCCCATCTCTTCTTCTTTTCTTCTTGAATTGCACCTGGTGTGTTTGTGGTGTTACCCTGAGGCTGGGTCCCACTTCACTCAACAGTCCACCGTGTTCCTCTTGGCAAACACCCATAAACTTCCTTCTCTAAAGAAACGTGCCAGGAATCTGGGCTCAATTCCACACACTGGCTCTTACCTTTAAGGCCCTAAATGGGTTGGAGCCAGGGTACCCGAAGGGCCATCTTCTCCTGCACTGTCCAGCCCACCAGTTAAAATCTGCCTCCCTGGACGTACTCTCTGTGCCTCTGCCTTCAGAGGTGAGGCAGAGGGCATCTACACACAGGGCATTTTCAGTGGTGGCACCTTGCCTTTGGCATTCCCTCCCCCTTAAGGCTCGCCTGGCGCCTATCATAACGTCTTCCAGCTGCAAAGGCAAAACATTGCCTTTTAGCCAGCCTTTTAACTGAGGGGTATTATTTTATTAACTGTTTAAGAGCTGCTTCTGGTCCGAGATTTGTTTTGTGAGTATCTTTATGCTTCTTTTATGTCCCTGACTGATTCCTTAGAGGTTTCTTTTCTTTTTTTATATTAATGTGTAATGATTTTGTGGTGTTTTTACTTGTAACCAGTGTTCCCTCTAAGCTGAGTCAGTGTGAGCTAGCTCACAGTTTTTTAACCTCCGGCTCAGACATTTTAGTCTCAGCTCAGGAAGGAGGTCTCCAGAGCAAACTCATTTATGCAGCAGCCAAATCGCTCGATCACAACTTTAATGCCAGGAGCTCACAAAGTAGAATTTTTGCTCACAAGACTCCACAGCTTAGAGGGAGCATTGCTTGTAACCCACCTCAACTAGGCCTCTGGAGGCATAAAATTTCCTTAATAAAAAAAGAGTGTTATATTCTCAGATGTTGAAATGAGAAGTATTGACATCTTAATGTCCATTTCCCTTTTTACAGGCTTTCAAAGAAGCAGAGAAAGAAACAAAAACCCATGATGGTAGGTCTTCATGCTAATTTTCTGTCCTGTATTCCAACTTCCAGAAGTGACGACTGCGTTCCCACAATGCAGTGCCCCACAATGCAGTGCTTATGCGTCCCTTTTTAACTTTGATTTTGTCACAGTTCTCATCTATCACACCTGCAGTTAGATTTGAACAAGACTGGAGTTATTTAAGTATTTTTACCCCTCTTCTTTCCCCAGTTGGGTCCCAAAGTAGAATATGAAATACATTTTAAACACAAGAAGAAAAAAGACTTACAGTACATTATATCACAGCCTGGATTAGCCTTGGATCTGTTGGCCCCCACAACTAATCACAGGCTATGAACTAAGGACCAAGAGCCTTTTGCCTTGCCAGTTTTGGTGTCGTCCACATGCAGCCAGCTGGGTGACCTTGGGCTGGTCGCGGTTCTCTCAGAGCTGTTCTCTCAAGAGCAGTCCTTGAAAGAGCTCTCTCAGCCCCACCTGCCTCACAGGGTGTCTGTTGTGGGGAGAGGAAGCTGCTCTGAGACTCCCGAGCGAAGGGCGGGGTATAAATCCAGCTCTTCTTCTTCTTGTTCCTCTGTCCACACCCAGGCGAAATACCTGCAACTGAGCAGACCTTGGCCCAGATCTCAGTCATCTGCCTTAAAAGATATTTCCCCCATCTTCCTCCCTTGTGTTGTCAGACCTTGTCATGAATCTCTTCAGCTCCCACTGTGAGTCTTGGCTGGACCTAGGCATGGTCTCCTGTCACTTAAGCCACACACACGAAGCCGCCTTATACTGAATCAGAGTGCTAGTCCATCCAAGTCAGACTGGCAGTCATAAGAACATAAGAGACGCCAATGTTGGATCAGGCCAAAGGCCCATCCAGTCCAACACTCTGTATCACACAGTGGCCAGAAATACCAGATACCATCAGGAGGTCCACCAGTGGGGCCAGGACATTAGAAGACATCCCACTGTTGACCCCCCAAAGCACCAAGATGACAGAGCATCACTTGCCCCAGAGTCCCTATCTATACCTTGTGGCTAATAGCCACTGATGGACCTCTGCTCCATATGCCTATCTAATTCCCTTTTGAAGCCGTCCATGCTTGTAGCCGCCACCACTTCCTGTGGCAGTGAATTCCATGTGTTAATCACTCTTTGGGTGAAGAAGGACTTCCTCTTATCCGTTCTAACCCGACCGCTCAGCAATTTCATGGAGCGCCCACGAGTTCTTGTATTGTGAGAAAGGGAGAAAAGTACCTCTTTCTCTACCTGTTCTTTCCCATGCATAATCTTGTAAACCTCAATCATGTCACCCCTCAGTCGTCTTTTCTCCAAGCTAAAGAGCCCTAAGCGCTTTAACCTTCCGTCTCTAGGGTCTCAGGCAGAGGTCTTCCACGTCACCAGATCCTTTAACTGGAGATGCCGGGGATTGAACCTGGGACCTTCTGCATGCAAAGCAGATGCTCTACCACTGAGCCACAGCCCCTCCCCACACTAGAGGCTTCTGGACTCCGATAAGCACTAGCAACGTCATTGATACCTGCCGCAGCTTAAAGACTTTGGCATGTGTTATGGCCTCCATATACACTGCTAGACTGATGGGTGAAAGCTCAAGGCTGGCTTCTGGGTGCTGTCCTTTGGTTCTCCATGCAATTGAGCGGCACCTGCATCTGGTTGGTCCTGCTGGGTATCCAAAAAGGCTTCAGAACCTATGGATCACACCTGGAACAGAGTGCTTTTACAGATATGTCAGAAGGCTTTTGATCTTGCTCACTGTGATTGTGTTAGACCTCCACGTAACAGAGTGTGTTTGTCCTCCTAGCCGTCTTTCATGTACATTTGCATTTCTTTTCAACCAGGCACGGGGAGTCCCCTTCGATGACCAGAGCACAGGCGATCAAGCTGATGAGGCGAGTGAGGCCAGCAGTGCCAACCGGGATGATGCGGCTGAAGCATCAGAGAATGCCGAAAAAAGCCGCAGCCCAGAAGAAGCAAGTACTGGGGGAAACGGAGCTCCCACCAGTGAACCAGAAACAGAGGTGAAAATGTAAGTATATGACTGCAGCCACAAATAAAACCGTATTAAGCTGCCTCCTAAAGATTGGAAGAGAGGGGGCCGAGCACAGCTCCCTGGGGAGATTGTTCCGTAATCGTGGGGCTGATGTGGAGAAGGCCCGCTTTCACGTACCCACCAGACAAGCGTCTCTGATTGGTGGGAGAGTCAGGAGGGCCTCTCCCAGTGATCTTAATTCCCGGGCAGGAAAGTGTGGGAGAAGATTGTCGTTCAGATATCCTGGACAGAAAAATTCAGAAAAGTCTGGGGGATGGGGACTGACAAAACTCCTTTCCTACCCCACCTCCCAGGCGTTCCCATCTCTAGCTGAGGTGAGCAATTCTGGTAAGCACCGCCTCATATCTTAGGTTGAGATCTTGGGCCTGTCGCATCCAACTCTCCTCCTTAGGTGAGCCAGTTTGGTGCAGTGGTTAAGTGCGCGGACTCTAATCTGGGAGAACTCGGTTTGATTCCCCACTCCTCCACTTGCACCTGGCTGGATGACCTTGGGTCAGTCACAAGCTCTGGCACAGCTGTCCTTGAAAAAGAGCAATTTGTGTCAGAGTTCTCTCAGCCCCACCCACCTCACAGAGTGTCTGTTGTGGGGAGAGGAAGGGAAAGGAGTTTGTAAGCCACGCTGAGATACCTTTGGGTAGTGAAGGGCGGGGTATAAATCCAATATCCTCTCCTCCTCCTCTTCGGCTTAAAAGTCCTTGCTATATTTGTATTGCTGGTGGGGGACCCAACAGCGCCTGGGGTGAGCTGGTTTTTCCAGCCCTGCGAGCCTCTCCGTTGAGCCATGCCGCCTGATTGAGTCTCCCCTTTTTCCTGGTCCAAAAATGAACTCTCCTCTGGCACGGAAAGAAAAGTTGTCCACCCTCTCCCCATTTGCTCGCCCGCCTTCCTCCAGCAGCATGCAAACTAGTGCCTAAAAACTACAACTCCCAGGATGCTGTGGGGTGGGGAGGGAGCAGAAGGATTCTGGCCGTGCCTGGGGGTGGGGAGAAGAAAATCAACAGAGGAAGCAGAAGTGGCCGCGTGGGGAAACGTGGCTGCTGCAATCACCGCTGGGACTGGCGGCGAAGGGGATGAGGATGATGAGGAAGCTGCTGCCCCCTCTCACCATTGCAGGCTGGGCTACAGCTCAGTGGGGGTGCTGCAGATTCGATAGGGGGGTACTGCCCTCAGTGCCCCAATGCAGGCTGCAGCCCCGATTGCATTGCAGTTATTTTTTTGCTGTGGTGACTTGGGCCTCATCCTCTCCACATACCACGCTTAAGCTGAAAGAGGGCTTGTCACCGAAAATGGGAGGAGCAGATTGCTCACCCCAAGGGCTGACCCAGATGTTCCCAGTTTCCACCTTTTGTCTTTTCCTCAACAAAAGATATCCGTCCGAGTCCTTGGAGCCTCCATTTCGTCCTCTTCTGGCAGTTACCCATTTTTCAGCTTCCACGTTTCCAGGCAGAACGGCACGTGCTTGACGGTGTACAGGACTGCATAGGATGGGGCCATTTGCAGGGTTAGGCGAGTTGCCTCCTCCACTGATCAGACATGTAAGATATTGCTGCAATCGCCGCCCGTGCAATGTGGAAGATTGCGTTCAAGCTAAATGAGCTTCGTGAATAATGAAAGGGCAATTGGGGCACCGTCCGACCAACATGAACTACTTTGAGGTCCCGTCGATTTTGCTTGTTTAAACCCCTCCCTTGGAAACAGGGCTTCCTTTTGCGTACAGTGCAGGGAAGGCAGACGACTAAGAGCCTCTTTTTTTTCCCTTCCCCCCTTTCAGCAATCCGAAAACTAAAGGGAAGAAAGCAAAAGATACGAAGAAAACATCTGCAAGGAGTTCTTCAGAGCCTCAAATCGTGGTACGTATGAAGGTTTTAGACCCCTCGGTGCTCATTCTGAATAGCAGAATACATTTGACATCCACTGTAGTAGTATCCCCCCCCCCAAAAAAAAAAAACCTTTTGTGGCGGATTGCTCAGAAGCTTGTTTGCTTATTTATCTGTTTGTTTATCTGGTTCAATTTCTATCCCTCCCTTCCCACAAGCGGGCCCAGGTTGAGTTAAAAGTATAAATTATAGGACAGAAAGGCCACTGTGTGACAGAGTGTTGGACTGGATGGGCCATTGGCCTGATCCAACATTGGCTTCTCTTACGTTATGTTCCTAAATGAAAAACCTTCATCCTTAAATGATGGCGATCAGACTGAGGTCACTCTGGTGAAACTGATTGGCCAGTCAAGTTGTTTTAAAGTAACAGTGCTTATGCTGTGGCTGAGGGAGAGCTCCATTCACAATCACCATCAGTGAAAGGAGCCACATGGCCACTGTATGCCCTGTGTGCCACCCCAGCGAACGCACACGTACAATGATATACCAAGTACCAACCAGATTGCCTTCCCTATGAGGAAAGGCAGAAGACTCTGAGACTTTCCAGTTTAGAAAAGAGACAGCTAAGAATGAGGTTTGTAAAATTATGAATGGGGTAGAGAGAGTTGACCAAGAGAACTTTTCTCTCCGTCTCCCAAAATATTGAACTTGAGGGCATCCAGTGAAGCTGACAGGCAGTAGCTTCAGGACAGTCAAAAGGAGATACTACTCGACACAGAGAGTGAATAAAATGTGGAATTCGCTGCCAGAGGATGTAGTGATGGCCATGGGAACAAAGAGCTTTAAAATGGGATTAGATAGATTCATGGAGAATAACGCAGGGCTCTTTGTGTAGCAGGTACTCATTTGCATATTAAGCGACACACCCCTAATGTAGCCAATCCTCCAAGAGCTTATCGTAGCTCCTGTAAGAAGAGCTCTGTAAGCTCTTGGAGGATTGGCTACATTAGGGGTGTGTGGCCTAATATGCAAAAGGAGTTCCTGCTACAAAAAGAGCCCTGAATGGCTACTAGCCACAGTGACTGAGGGGAACCTCCACATTCAGGCACTAAACCTCTGAATCCCAGAGCCAGAAGGCCACATCAATGGAAGGCCTCGGCCTCCATGCCCTGTTGTTGACCTTCCAGAGGAACCTGTTGGCCCCTGTGTGAGGCAGGATGCGGGACTAGATGGACTATTGCTCTGATCCAGTAGAGGTCGTCTTCTTTATGTATTTATTTTATTCATTTTCTAGCCCGCTCTCCCTGCACAGCAGGCTCAGAGTGGGTACAACAAATATAAACATGATCAATTAACATGAATAGGGAGTAAAAACATGAAGTCATTTGAAACCGAAGGCATCGGATACTTAATTAGCAACCAGTAGATGGCGATCTGTTAACACAGTGAACGGATTCCAACCCAACCGCATGTGGTCCATGGGCGGAAGAACACGTGCAAAGGAGTCGGCCACAGTAGATGGAACGATAGACGGAGCAGGGCGGGGGAGGCCCAGTGTAGATGGTTTACTGTCGCCTCAACCATAGGCCTGGCGGAACATCTCCACGGTTACAGGCCCTGCGGGATGGCATTAAACCCCACAGGGCCTGGATCCCACTTGGGAGAGTGCCCCACCAGGCTGGTGCCAGAGCTGAGAAAGCTCTGCCCCTGGCTGAGGGCCGAGGACCTCCAGCAGGTGTTGATCTGAAGAGCACAGGGCGCTTCAGGGGAGTTATTGGGAGAGACAGCCCTGCAAATACGTTGGTCCCGGTCCGCAGAGGGCTTTAAAGGTCAAAACCAGAACCTTGAACTTGATCCGGTATTCAGCCGGAGGCCAGTGCAGCTGGCGCAGCACAGGTAGAACATATGCTCTTGATGTAATCCCTGTAAGGACACCTGCTGCCACCTTCTGAAGTTTCCGGATCAGTCTCGAGGGTAGCCCTGTGTAAAGCAAGTTATAGTAATCCAGCCTGGAGGTGAACGTTGTATGGATCACTGTAGCTAAGTCACGGGGAGAAAGGTAGGGAACTAGCTGTCTGACCGGTTGAAGGTGGGGGAATGCTGACCTGGCAACCGTTGTGATTTGGGCCTCCACAGGGCCGACCGTGCTTAGCTTCCCAGATCTGAGGAGATCAGGCGAGCCTGGGCCATCCAGGTCAGGTGCTTTGCCTAGCTTAGCCGCTTTTGATGGGCAGCAGCTCAGTTTAAGGAGCTGCGGTGGCTCAAGTGGTTAAGACGCTGAACTGCAGGCTGTGGAAGGTCAGTGGTTCAGAAGTTCGAGACCTGAGGGTGCCGCATGACGGAGTGAGCTCCCGTCTCTAGTTCCAGCTCCTGCCAACCTAGCAGTTCGAAAGCAAGAAATTGTAAGTAGATAAGTAGGTACCACTTCGGTGGGAAGGTAACAGCGTTCCGTGCGCCTTGGTGTTTAGTCATGCCGGCCACATGACCACGGAAACGTCTTCGGACAGCGCTGGCTCTTCGGCTTTGAAACGGAGATGAGCACCGCAACCCTAGAGTCGGATTCGACTGGCTTTCGAGCAAGGGAACCTTTACCTTTAGCTCAGTTTAAACAAGTGGCTGTTTGAGTGGAAAGTCTTTGGACTGACACCACAAATCGATGCTTGCGGGCTTAGTGACATTTTTTTTTTACAGTCTGCCCAAAGGAGGTTCCGTGCTAATACTAGCAAAATGGCTTTGTTTTGTTTGCCTCTCTGCTACCAGAATGAAGCTTCTCTCCGGTGCGTCACCTGCCATTGTGAATTTCAGTCGCGGAATAAGCTGTTTGACCACTTGAAAGCTACGGGCCACGCCAAGGCCACGCAGGCACCGCCGCCGACCACGAATGGAGCCGTGAGCAGCCGAAGCAAAAAAGAGAAGCGTAAAAACAGATAGGGCTCCCTGAAGGAGATGGCGGGAAAGCCGATGGGCGGCTTGGTGTAACCCTCAGAGGTACCTCAGTAGCACAAAGAGAGACAAGATTGGTCCCACTGGGATGAAAAAATGCTCTGGTTTTCCTCAGCATCGGGCATGGCAACAAAGGCTTTACACACGGATTGTGCCTCTTATTCATTTTGGGTTTTTTTCTTTTTTTCAACTTGACCATTGGCTGTGTTGTACCTGGTCCCTTCATTAGATAAAAAAACCCTTTCTTGCCCCCCTCCCCAAAGCCCAGGTACTCATCAAGAGGGTCTTCCTCATACCGATACAGACTTGTAAAGATAAACGTGTACAGGAATGAAGAAATAAATTATTTTAGTGTACATTGCAGTTTTATTATAAGATGGTTACATCTGATAATTTACGTATGCTTATTTCTTTGTTTAAACCATTTCTCCACCACCTCGTAGCCGTTGGGTTAAGGTTCTTTCTGCTTTCTTTCTAGACCACTGATTCATTCACCTCCCCGTCTGATCTGTTTATGGTCCGAGCACAGGGAACCTTTACATCATCTATGGCTTGGGATTATCTACTCGTTCAGACAGAAAAAACCAGTAGTCTTTCATCACTGACCTTACAGTCCCCTCTTGCTTGGGGGTGGGGGAGAGAATTGAGGAATGTGCGACAGGGTCACCCGCAATGTTCCCTCTAAGCTGGGGAGTCTTGTGAGCAAAAATTCTACTTTGTGAGCCACTGGCATTAAAGTTGTGAGCGAGCAATTTGGCTACTGCATAAATTAGTTTGCTCTGGAGCCCTCCTTCCTGAGCTAAGACAAAAAGGTGTGAGCTGGAGGCTAAAAAACTGAGCTAGCTCACACTAACTCAGCTTAGAGGGAACACTGGTCACCAATGCTCCCTCTAAGCTGTGGAGTCCTGTGAGCAAAAATTCTACTTTGTGAGCTGCCGGCATTAAAGTCGTGAGCGCGCGATTGGGTTGCTGCATGAATTCGTTTGCTTTGGAGCCCTCCTTCCTGAGCGAAGGCAAAAATGTGTGAGCCGGAGGCTAAAAAACTGTGAGCTGGCTCACGCTAACTCAGCTTAGAGGGAACACTGCTGGTCACCCCCAACTCCATTATCATACCTGCGCCCTCTGTAGGCTTCAGCATAACGAAAATATGTCAGCCATGTTTTTGCTTACTGAGGCACTGCCTGAGGCTGATATGACATTGAAAAAGCTCTTCCACCTAGAAAGCATCTGCTTGGGACAAATATACATCATATTAAGCCTCTTTTTATGTGAGGCTGGTCTCGTGGAATGATTACATTGGAGTTTCAGGTCTGTAGGCTTGTCATTTCTCTGCCTAACCTGTCAAACAGGATCAAATTTGCCTGAAGTTATGCTAAGTACAGTGGAGGGAACTGGGGACTCCCATATGCCTAAAACGAGACATGTCACAGTGTTCCCTCTAAACTGAGTTAGTGTGAGCTAGCTCACAGTTTTTTAGCCTCCAGCTCACAGATTTTTGTCTTAGCTCAGGAAGGAGGGCTCCGGAGCAAGCTAGTTTATGCGGCAGCCAGATTGCTCGCTCACAACTTTAATGCCAGTAGCTCACAAAGTTGACATTTTGCTCACAAGATTCCGCAGCTTAGAGGGAGCATTGCTCACAGGTGGATTCTATTAACTTTTCACATTTCCTTCCTTGTGAGCATGGGAGCCATAGTTCCTTACCTAAGAGAGACCATGTTACAGTGTACAGCCTGATCCGCTGCCTCATTATTTGGAAGTTAAACTCAAGTTCTGCCCTTAGGCCCTTAAAATAGCTCAAAGTAAGGCTTGGAGGTAAATGCAAGGAAATGGCTACAAATATAAGGCTAGATGCCAGCACCAAAAGCCAGTCCTATTTTGTTTTGTTATCTAGGAGTCTTGCTTAACAGCAGTGATGAGAAGAAAAAACAGTTCTTAATGCTGGACAGAGCTTTTTTTCTGGGGGAATGTGCCGGAACAGAGTTCCGGGACCTCTTCGACAAAATTCTTTTAAAAATGTTTAAAAGTTCATGAGTTTTCAGTATACAGATTGAAAACTCCGTTTCCCTCTTGAGAGTTCTGGCACCTCTTTGTCAAAAAAAAAGAAAGAAAAAAGCCCTGCTGCTGGAAATGATCACCCCATGTTCTAATTTTTTCCCCAGTAGAAGAAGATGTCCATCTTTCACTTGGGCTCGAACACATTGGCTAATGGAATGGTTGCAGCAATTTGAGAATCTAGATTCCGCTAATCAGCTGTTTGAGGGGGTACGGACAGGTTCATTCCCCACCTCCAACCAAATTGGTCATTATCAGGATTGGATAGTCCTCTGTTGCTAGCTGAATGGACAATTCCCGCTGGTTGTGGAATCTGGCTTGTCTACAGACACGTGCCACCTGAATGCCCTTTCTCTGTCGTCCGGTTTCATACTACCCCTGGCAACTGGATAATTCCTTACTACAGAACCTATGAAAAAGCAGCTGCAGCAGTTGAATAGCAGCTGCAGCAGTTCCACGATCGAGGGCATGCTACTTTGCAGCCGCCGTTCTCTCCTTATGTCTGGTTAAAGCGGCGTGAAAAACTTCCACTGCGAAGTCTGCGTCTTCCTTGGTGATGCACAGTGGTGGTTTAATTCTAAATGTCTTTAAACAGAGAGAGAAAAGTAAAGTTAGAAGGTGGGTGGGATTAAAATAGCTAGGGTATATCAGTGTACCATAAGAGCTAGAAACTTGTGTGCTCAGAACCAAAACGCATGCTCTTTCTGTGTTCCTGAGGACACTGCCCTAAGCGTGATACTCAGTTTGGCTGTAGTCACACACACACACACACACCCCCAATAGGCTGAAGTGATGGTAACATATACATGAACACAAGAGAAAGAAGACGGGCAGGCTGTCATCTGTGCAACTGGGGAAAACATTTTCTGGAGCCATTTTGTGCATCTTACAAAATATTGAATACTAAAGAAAAGGGTGGGTGCTTCTTAGTTAAACACATTGAAGAACAAAGTCTGCTGAAGGAAAAGCAGCATGGCTTCTGCAAGGGGAAGTCCTGCCTCACCAACTTCTTGGGAATTCTTTGAACTGGTTAACAAGCATATATAGGTCTCAGAAGTAGTGATTCTAAAGGGTGCAGTTTATCAATCCCCTACCCTAGACATCGAGTGAAAACATTAGGCTGCTGTTTCTGTGTTTCATGCAGTTCAGCATCCCTTTACTTTTCACCTGGCATGTATTTTGTTATTTCATAAGAACATAAGAGATGCCAATGTTGGACCAGGCCAAAGGCCCATCCAGTCCAACACTCTGTATCACACAGTGGCCAGAAATACCAGTGCCATCAGGAGGTCCACCAGTGGGGCCAGGACATTAGAAGCCCTCCCACTGTTGACCCCCCCAAGCACCAAGATGACAGAGCATCACTTGCCCCAGAGTCCCTATCTATACCTTGTGGCTAATAGCCACTGATGGACCTCTGCTCCAGATGCTTATCTAAATATATGCTTATTTCCCATCTTGCCATCCAGCAGGCCCGTAACCAGGATTTTGTGGCTTGTGGGGCAACATTTTTTTCTGGTGGGGTTGCCATTATTTTTCTGCCTGTCTCTAAACAACTGTTTTCTTGTATTGCCCTCTGCCTTGTGCCCATGTGCTAGAGAGGTGGCACCTAACCGCCTTAAGGAACAGGAATGGGTCCTTTTTACACTTCCTTCCTTTTGAGCATTTGCAGTAGTGTGGAGCCATGTTTCTTTGCGCGACACTCACCAGGGATTCTGTAACTGAACACGTCTCCCCAAAGTGTAACAGTACCTGAAAATGAATTCCTCCCTTCCCAAAGAGCACCCCCATGTCTTTGCAGTCCTCGAAGATCTCACTTATCTCCTCAGCGGGGAGGGGCTGGCGACTCTCCTGTGAACAAAGAGCAGGCTTCACTTGGCTTCTTTCCCTCGTGATTCCTTCTAAGTTAGACGCAGGAAAGCGGCTCATGACAAAAGAGACACAAGCGAAGCCACCAGTCCCCAGGAGGACCCTGATCTCAGGCTGGCAAATCGTCTGCACAAAATCTGTGCAATGGCTTCTTTGTACCCGGCCCTACAGCTCAATGGGTCTTTGCATGGAGGCTTGTTTGATGTTCTCGAAACAGCAAACCATACGGAGCCCCTCAATGGCACAGCGGCAGCTCCCCACTTTGGTACAAAAGCGCCTGGCTAAGCAACACCATCCCTGCCAGGATAAGCTTCTCTATTCACAGCTTCCCCGGAAGCCTTTGTTTAGGGGTGTATGCTGTACTACTGCTGGTTGCCACATGGGGGTGCTGATTAGCTCCAATTCGAATGGGCACGTACTTCCAAAATTCTCCTATACCATTTGTGAGTTATCCAATGGACTGGGCATGCAGCAAGTGTCTGTGCCAGCACAAACAACCCCAGAAGTGTATAGTCCCAGCACTGAGATTCTCTACGCGATTCAGGTTTAGGGTTGCTGGGCTGTGCCTGGAAGAAGAGTTGGATTTATACCCCACCCTTCACTCGGAGTATCAGAATGGCTTACAATCTCGTTTCTCTTCCCTCCCACGCAACAGACACCCTGTGAGGTAGGTGGGGCTGAGAGAGCTCTGACAGAAACTGCTCTTGAGAGAACAGCTCTGAGAGAACTTGTGACTGACCCAAGGTCACACCAGCAGCTACATATGGAGGAGTGGGGAATCAAATCTAGTTCTCCAGATTAGAGTCTGCTGCTCTTAATCACTGCACCAAGCTGGCTGGAAGGATATGGGGCAGCTGTGAAGGTGCATGCACCATTAGGGCACTTTTCATGCAAAACTGGAACTAGCATAGGGTAGTTCTGGGAATCACAGGAAATTCTACGGTAACCATAGAGTTTCTGGTGATTCCTGGAGCTACCTTCCCCGACATAATGGTGCACACAGTGCTGCCTTTTCATCTCCCTGCAGCTTGGAGCAGCAGTGAGCAAGATGACCTGAGCACAGGGAATCTCCTGTCACGACTCAGGGACTGGCAAGCCTAAAGCCAGCCCTTAGATGCAGGACTGCAAATGCTTAGGCGGGCATATAGGAAGAAGCTGCAACACACACACACACACACACGAGTGCTAACCAGCACATTCCTGACCTTGTCTTTGACCATCTGGATCCCAATCATAAGCCCTTTGCCACGAACGTCTCCGATGATTTCAAACTCGTCCCGGAGCTTGGCCAACTCGAGCAGGAGGTGGGTCCCAACCGCCTCACAGTTCTTCTGCAAGCCGTCTTCCTCTATTGCCTGAACACACGGAAGTTGGTAGGAAAGAAAGCATCAGACATGGTGAAGTTGACCGGCCACATGGAACACACTTGCAAAGGATGCGGACAAGATGGTGACCCAAGTGCTTACGAGCGCAATATGTAGCGCTTGCAGTATGCAGTACAGAACAGAGACAAGAGGTCCGTGCCACGGAAACTGAGATCGACAATCCAAAATTGGACGGAAAAGGTCTAGGGGGCAGTAATGAGGAAGGTGGGCATAGCAAAGCTGGTGGGGACTGGAGATGCGGATGGCACGGGTGGGTTAGTAAGGCAGCAGGCCTGAAGCCAACTATGCATGAAGTCCTCACGTCTGCCCCAGTCCAGTTAACCGGGGAGTTGAACAAATGAAGCCCACGTGAAGCTGCCTTATACTGAATCAGACCCTCGGCCCATCAACGTCAGAACTGTCTACTCAGACCAGCAGCAGCTCTCCAGGGCCTCAGTCTCATCACCTCCTGCCTGGTCCTTTTAACTGGAGATGCCAGGGATTGAACCGGGGACCTTCTGCATGCCAAGCAGGTGAACATGGAATTCACTGCCACAGGAAGTGGCGGCGGCTACAAGCATGGACGGCTTCAAGAGGGAATTAGATAAACATATGGAGCAGAGGTCCATCAGTGGCTATTAGCCACAAGGTATAGATAGGGGCTCTGGGGCAAGGGATGCTATGTCTTCTTGGTGCTTGGGGGTGGTGGTCAACAGTGGGAGGGCTTCTAATGTCCTGGCCCCACTGGTGGACCTCCTGATGGCACTGGTATTTCTGGCCACTGTGTGACACAGAGTGTTGGACTGGATGGGCCTTTGGCCTGATCCAATATTGGCACCTCTTATGTTCTTATGTTCTCTACCACTGCATGGGCACCCCGAAAGTCCCAGTGCTCACAGCAGATCTCTGGACTAGACCCAAACTGTGAGCAATAATGTCTTTGACGGCTGGGGGGTAGGCATGGAATAAGATTTACAGTGGCGCCACAGGTAAAGTAATATAACAAATAGGACCCAGGAATTTTCTTACATCCAGAACTGCAGATCCAACAACACAGGCCATGGGGTTTCCGCCAAATGTGTTAAAGGGCAAGCCTTGAGCCAAAGAACTTGCAATTTCTTTTTTAAAAAGGAAAGAGAAGTATTTTAGTATTATTATTATTATTATTTAAAAATGTATTCCTCCAAGGGATTAAAGCTGGTGCTGCTCCACAGCTAGATCCTGGATGACGCCCGAAAAGAGATGCTCTCATCCCACCTCTGCATTAGAACCCTTCTGCCAGATCCAAGGAACCACTCACTGCCCCACCATGGTGACCAAAAGGATGAAATACTAGAGACTGTGCGCCCCGTTCTAGGTATATATTGACACTTCCACAACATTCAGTGGGGCTTATTCCAAAGTGAATTTGCTTTCCATGCTATTGGGGTTTTTTGTGTGTGTTTGCACAATAAGGTCGCACTCCAGTACAGACCACTGATGTCAACAGGCTTAAGTTTACATTGGGACAGCAAATCTGTCACGCAAAAAATACAAATGAAAGCAAATGAAAGGGGTCTGGAGAATAAGCCCTACGAGGAAAGGCTAAGGGCCTTGGGAGTGTTTAGTTTGGAGAAGATGAGATTGAGGGGGGACACGATCGCTCTCTTTAAATATTTGAAAGGCTGTCATTTCCAGGAGGGCAAGGAGCTGTTCCAGTTGGCAGCAGAGGAGAGGACCTGAAGCAACGGGTTTAAATTATATGCAGAAAGGTATCGGCTGGATATGAGGACAAACTTTTTCACGGTCAGAGTGGTTCAAAGGGGGAATCAGCTGCCTAGGGAGGTGGTGAGCTCCCCTTCACTGGCAGCTTTCAAGAAGAGGCTGGACGAATATTTGTCAGGGATGCTTTAGGCTGGTCCTGCCTTGGGGGGGGGGGGTGGGCTGGATGGGCTGTAGGGCCCCTTCCAACTCTATGATTCTATGAATACACAACCGTACAGAAAGGTTTGTTCTGGTTTGTGGCATAAGCATTACTTGTTTTACATTGAGCACGCTGTTTTGCTTGCTAAGAGGACTGTAGAGATTAACTGGGGACCAGCTCCCTAGGGCTAGCTGCATGAGTGCGAAATGCACACGAGCCCTGCAAACATCAAGGTAGCCAGCCATGCTGTCATTGTCAAGCGCGTGGGCTGTTTGCAATGGACAAAGTGGCCAAATTCATAATGAGGCCTTTACTGGCTTGATGCTGTAATAAACTATCCACTCATAATGAGAGCCAGTATCTCCCAGGATGCTAAGATTAACGAGGGCTTGGTGTGTCTAGCAGAGACTGAACTCTAACCCTAAAGCACAAGTCATCTTACAATGCCAGATTTAAAACAACTGTTTTCTATAAGAAACCCCCTTCCCCATACCTGCTTTAGTGATGACCGCTGCCATGGGGAAGCCATTCCCAATTGCTTTGGCCACGGTAACAATGTCTGGCACCACACCGTGTCCTTCGAATCCCCAGAAATGGCGGCCTGTGCGACCAAAGCCCGTCTGAACCTTTAAAGAACACATTTCAAACACAGTCGCTTAACGTTTTAAGACAAGTTCACAGATGACTGATTTCCCATCTCAATAGAAAAGTACAAGGGACAGCAGTATGACAATATCAGTACAAAAAACAATTACTGCAACAGTGCATATAATGAAGGATGTTGATACAATGTGTAATCACTTCATGATGTTTATTCTTTTCCACAGCAGGACATCAACAGACGATTAATGAAGGACGAACTTCCCCAGAGCTACCGTTCGTTTCGAACTCTCTTTTTCAAACAACGGTCTCAGTTCCAAATCCATACATCAATGCAGAATTTCAAAAGCTCTTGGCAACAGAATGAATAAGTCATTCTGTTGCCAAGAGCTTTTGAAATTCTGCATTGAACTGGAAATAGTTCTTACTAAAGGTCTTAAAGCTTGCAGGATACATGCAGATTCTATTCCACAAAGCAGCTGAGTTAAAATTGATTGAGGGATGGCATCTCTCATCTGTATTATGTCTGACATTTTATGCACTGTTTAAAAAGTCGTGTTGCTATGTAACTACATTACACTGTTGTCATTTCCAATTTGAAATTGTTAGCCACGTTGGGGGGGGGGTGTCTTCCCAGACGAAAAGGCAGTACGTAAGAAGACTAAATGAAACCAGTGTGGTATACAGGTGGTTGTGCTACAGTGGGGCTCATCCCACTGCATTTACCATGATGCTTTGGGGTTGGGGGGGTGTAGTACTCATGTTATCGTTGGGATCCAATGAATGTCAAGGAGCAAGGAATCATGAAGGACACAGTGCTGAGCAAATACTTCTAAAAGGGCAGGGAGAGCAGGGGAGCAAGCTGTAGCAAGCCAAGACTTAATTTCTGAAGTGAGATGTCCTGGGGTTTAAATCCTGGGAAATGAAATGCAATTTGACCTGGAAGTGCTTTAATCCTAGATGTCGTGAGTTGGTGATGTGAGGGAAAGTTAACTCCAGCTACCAAATGAAGAAAAAAGAAGACAGGAGGAGGAGGAGGAGGAGAAAGAAGTGGGGGAGGAGGAGAAAAAGGAGGAGGAGGAGGATAGTTGGAATTATATTCAGCCCTTCACTGGGAGTCTCAGAGCAGCTTACAATCACCTTCCCTCCTTCTCCCCACAACAGACACTCTGTGAGGTAGGTGGGGCTGAGAAAGCTCTGAGAAAACTGCTCTTGAGAGAACAGCTCTGGAATAACGGTGAATGGCTCAAGGTCACCCACCAGCTACAAGTGGAGGAGTGGGGAGTCAAACCTGCTTCTCCAGATTGGAGTCCGCCACTCTTAACCACTACACCAAGAAGAAAAGTAACTGAATTGGGTATGCGGGCCAAAAAGGTTGTCTACCCCAGACTGTGTGTGTTCACAGACATGCTCTACAATTACGTGATATATGTAAAGCCTTGTCCCTGGCATTATGGAGAGGTTCTGGTGAGTGCTAATTTATCGTATCCTAAACTGTCCTGTCAACAGACATCTTAAAGCCCTTTCACAATATTTTCTTCTTTTTCTGTCTTGGAGTGCAGACGTCCTTCTGGATTCCTGCATGAATGGGAAATTGTGGGCAGAGTGTTTTCTGTTCTTGTCTTGTGACAGTACTCACCGGTACTAAGTATCAGCCCAGCACCATTTTTGGGGAGCTCTCCAAAGTTCCATGCAACTTTATATGAGTACTAGCACTTTCCTTCCTTCTGTACAGCAGGGAAAGGACAAACTTCACTGAGCCTCGATTTTATGAGCCATAGAAAGTATATAAATTTGGTCAGATGACCATTCCAATTGCAATCTCTGGGCTACTGATCTTCACACGCTTTATCCTGAGTCTGACCGTCAGTCTATCAAGGTCAGTATTGTCTAGTCTAACTGGCAGCAGCTCTCCAGGGTCTCAGGTCCTTCATATCATATTGGGTCAGTCACAAGTTCTTTCAGAGCTGTTCTCTGAAGGGCCGTCCTCCAAAGAGCACTCTCAGCCCCACCTGCCTCACAGGGTGTCCGTGGTGGGGAGAGGAAGGGAAGGTGATTGTAAGCCACTCTGAGACTCCTTCAGGTAGTGAAGGGTAGGGTACTAATCCAGTCTCTTCCTATTCCTCTTCTTCTTCTTCTCTGATCCTTTTACCTAGAGATTGAACTCGACACCTTCTGCGTGCAAAGTCCATGTTCTTCCATGGAGCCACAGACCTCTCCCCTCGTAGCTGCACCTATCCTTAAAAAGCTCTGTGTACTAGTCCTCCCTAGGGGTGGGACATGGATTCTATGCCAACCACTCCACTATCCGCGGGATGGATGTGTGACGCCCTCTAGAGCTGGATAGTACTGGCTGAACAGTACGGGAGCTAATTGTATTATATGTATTTTATTATGTATTGATGTATATTTATTTTATGTATTTTATTTTATGCACTGATGCATATACGTGTTGTATGCCACCCTGTGTTCTGCTTGCAGGAAACAGAACAGGATAGAAATAAAATTATTGTTGTTATTATTGTTATTGTTGTTGTTTCAGCAGAGGGCACCAAAAGAGCACTTTGAAGGACAGACTTGCTACATATAAGAATTTGAGCTGTAGCAAACTGCAACAGCTGCATTCATTGTCAGCCTGTTTCCTTCCATTTACCTCTGCCTGGCCCCACTGCTGGACCTCCTGGTGGCCCCTGGTATTTTTGGCCATTGTGTGACCGAGTGTTGGACTGGATGGGTCATTGGCCTGATCCAACATTGGCTTCTCTTAGGTTCTTATGTTCTAAGTATCAGCTCCCATTTAGGCAGTTTCTTCACTACACTAACCTTTCCTCGGGCAGAGCAGTGAAAAAGCATTGTATGAAATACAGCAGCTGCACTGGACAATCTCCGTGCACATGTCCCAGGAAGGTGCTTTCCTGTGCGATCCTTTCCTGCACACGCTTGGAAAATGTTTGTAAGCAAGAAAGCAGAAAATCAAAGGTGTGTGGGCTTGCAACAGCAGAGCCGTCAGGAGGACACACGACCACGAGATAAGCTCACGGGGCCTTCTCCACAATTCACAGTCTTACAGAAGTGCCAGTTCCCTCCGTTTTCTGGGTGCTTCCCCACAAGTATTTTCAAAATGCAAGCAGAAATAAAGTCAAAAGATAAAGACTGGCATGCTGATGCTGTGATTGCTGACAGGCAGGGCTATTTTTGGGCAGGAACGCACAGGAACGGAGTTCCGGCTGGCTCCTGAGTTGGCCACGCCCAGCAGGAACTCATTAGCATAATAGACCACGCCCAACAGCAGAAACTCATTAGGATTGGCTACATTAGGGGTGTGTGGCCTAACATGCAAAGGAGTTCCTGCTACAAAAAAAGGCCCTGGGTTTTGACAACAAACAAGGTAAACCGAATAAGAAGCAAAAGGTGGGTGTGGCTGGATGAGCACACTTCTGGTAACATGGGGGAGTGGCCTAATATGCCAATGAGCTGTGCTGTCAGGGGTGTGGCCTAATATGCTAATGTGTTTCTGCTGTTGGAAGTGGCCTATTATGCTAATGAGTTCCTGCTGGGCTTTTTCTACAAAAAGAGCCCTGCTGACAGGTGAAAAGGCATCATGGCTCCCAATGACTTCCCCAGACACCCCGAGCCTGCTCTGGTGGGGAGGGCGGGGTATAAATCAAATCAATAAATAAAATAAAGCTTTCTTTATTCATTTAAACCTAGGGGGAAATTATGTGCCAAAAGACTAGGAGACATCAGTACAAAGGAGCCAGGTAGTAGGAAAGAGCCAGAGTCCAGTAGCACCTTAAAGACTAACAACATTTGTGGCAGGGTAGGAGCTTTCGTGAGTCACAGCTCACTTCTTCAGATACCTGAAGCCAGGTGTGCACGATGCAATACACACATTCCTCTAGATAGGGGAGTTATGCTCCAATACTTACTTCGTCTGCAATGCATACGCCTCCCCTCTCACGCACTAGCTCAAAAGCCTCCTTTAGGAATCCCACGGGATACTGAACTGCACCATTGACACCCTGTTCAAAGCAGATAAAGAAACTCTGTTGGCAAAAGAACAGATTTATATCATTTTCTTATACCAGAAGAGCCCTGTTGGATCCGACCAGTGAACATAAGAACAACATAAGAACATAAGAGATGCCAATGTTGGATCAGGCCAAAGGCCCATCCAGTTCAACACTCTGTATCACACAGTGGCCAGAAATACCAGTGCCATCAGGAGGTCCACCAGTGGGGCCAGGACATTAGAAGCCCTCCCACTGCTGACCCCACCCCCAAGCACCAAGATGACAGAGCATCACTTGCCCCAGAGCCCCTATCTATACCTTGTGGCTAATAGCCACTGATGGACCTCTGCTCCATATGCTTATCTAATTCCCTTTTGAAGCCGTCCATGCTTGTAGCCGCCACCACTTCCTGTGGCAGTGAATTCCAAGTGTTAATCACTCTTTGGGTGAAGAAGTACTTCCTTTTATCCGTTCTAACCCGACTGCTCAGCAATTTCATGGAGTGCCCACGAGTTCTTGTATTGTGAGAAAGGGAAAAAAGTACCTCTTTCTCTACCTGCTCTTTCCCATGCATAATCGTATAAACCTCAATCATGTCACCCCTCAGTCGTCGTTTCTCCAAGCTAAAGAGGCCTAAGCGCCTTAACCTTTCCTCATAGGGAAAGTGTTCCAACCCCTTTATCATTCGAGTTGCCCTTTTCTGCACTTTTTCCAAAGCGATAATATCCTTTTTAAGGTGTGGTGACCAGAACTGCACACAGTATTCCAAATGAGGTCGCACCATTGATTTATATAGGGGCATTATGATATTGGCTGAGCTGTTTTCAATACCCTTCCTAATAATCCCCAGCATAGCATTGGCCTTCTTTATTGCAGTCACACACTGTCTCGACATTTTCAGTGATCTATCTAAGTCCAGCATCCTGTTTCTCACAGTGGCCAACCACTTGCCCCAGAGGGCCAGCAAACAGGGCAGAGGGGCCAAAGGCTTCTCCCTAGATGCTGCCTCCTAGCACTGGTATTTAGAGGCTTACTGCTTCTGAATGTGGAGGTTTCCTTGGTTTTTTTGTTTGGTGTAGTGGCTCAGAGTGGCAGACTTTAATCTAGAGAACCGGGTTGGACTCCCCGCTCCTCCACATGCAGCTGCTGGATGACCTTGGGCAAACCATAGTTCTGACAGAGCTGTCCTTGAAAGGGCAGTTCTTGAAAGAGCTCTCTCAGCCCCACCTACCTTACAGGGTGTCTGTTGTGGGGAGGGGGAGGGAAAGGAGATTGTAAGCCGCTCTGAGACTCCGAGTGAAAGGTGAGGTATAAATCCAACTCTTCTTCTTTAGTCACTATGGTGAGTAGCTAGTGATGGATCTATTCTCCATGAATCCGTCTAACTTCCTCCGAAAACCCTCTGTGTTCATGACCACCACTTCACAATCTGGCAGTGAATTCCACAATTTAAATACTTGCCAAGCAAAGAAGCATTTCCTTTTCTTTGTCATGACTCTATCGCCCATCCGTTTCATTGGGTATCCCTGAGTTCTACTATTATGGGGGGCGGGGGGCTTTTCTCTATCCATGTTGACCATTCCATGCATAATTTTATAAACCTCTATCATGTTGTCCCCCTCCCCCGTCACCTTTATTCTAAACTAAAACCCCCAGACTCTACCACATTTCCTCATACAAAAGGTGCTCCAACCCCTTCATCATTTTGGTTGCCTCCTTTTGTACTTTTTCCGGTGTAACAGGCCGGATTAACCCCCCGGCCAGAGTAACCCCGGGTTAATCTGTAACAGGCCAGATTCACCCCCCGGCCAGAGTAACCCCGGGGTTACTCTGGCCTAGCCTAGAATAACCCGCCCATTCACCCCCGGGCCAGATAAACCCCGGGGTTACTCTGGCCTAGGCTAGAATAACCCCCCAGGCCAGATTTCTGGGGCTGCTGTCTTTTTCTACTAAGAGAGATACTTCCCCAATAACCAGAGAGAACCACCTTCTGTTGCCAGAGGCGCTGCCTTTTACTCTTGGGAAGCCCCAATACCGAGGGCACCCCACTTATAACCTGACCCAGAGAGCCACAGGACTCAGGCCAAGGAAGGCACTCCTGGTTCTGAAACACAGAACTAGCCACAGCTCTGAAAAAGAGGTCTCCATTTGCAGGTGACAGCAAGCTTCCAGTCTCCCCCCTCCACCCAGCAGAGATCATGCTAATGGAATTCTACCAGGTAAAGTTAAAGTATATTCAATCGTCTTCTCCAATACCACACCCAGCCCTCTTTTGTGTCACCTCATGTCTTTCCTGCTCTGCCCCTCAGGCTACTGGGATAACCCAATCAAGCATTGAAATTATTAACGATCCTTCCTGACATAATCAGGGACTGTACCAGGAGTGTTATGTAACTGGGATGACAGGCCACGGAGTGGAATGACAGCTCCAGGGTGCAGCAGGAGTGTTCTGGAACTGGAATGACAGGGCCAAGAGTGGAATGACAGGCCCAGGGTGTACCAGGAGTGTTATGTAACTGGGATGACAGGCCACGGAGTGGAATGACAGCCCCAGGGTGCAGCAGGAGTGTTCTGGAACTGGAATGACAGGCCAAATGACAGGCCCAGGGTGTACCAGGAGTGTTATGTAACTGGGATGACAGGGCCAAGAGTGGAATGACATCCAATAGATATTGTTTACCTTGACTTCCAG